GACAGGTGAAAATGACAGGTACGTGAAATGAAAGGGGCAGCAGTGACAGGTGAAAAATGACAGTTAAGACAGATAAAATGAGTTGTGGCCGGTAAAAATGACAGTTTTGACAGAAGTAAAAATAACAGTTATGACAAGAGGTAAAAAGTTCAGTTTTGACAGAGGTAAAAATAACAGTTATGACCGAGATAAAAAGGACAATTACGACAGGTAAAAATAACAGCTGCAACATAGGTAAAAATAACAGTCGTGACAAAGGTAAAAAAAAAAATTACCTGTGAAAATAGTTACAGTGTGAATCCCTAATCCTATCCACCTTGTGTAACTTCCCACACCTCTTTCACATATATTCTAATCCCTCTCCTCCTCCCTAAATCCCCCCCCCCCTTCCCTACCTCCACGATACATAATAATACAGGTAATTCAAAAAGTCTCTATTCACCTGTAATAATTAAAAAAAAAATACAGGTGTTCCTTTTTATATCTATATTGATAAATTTTTTCCAGGTGAACAAGGAGTTTTCAATCACCATATCCTTAGTATTACTCTTAATAACCTGTTAATGTAGTATACACAACAGCGATGATTCTGTTATGGTACACTGAGAAAGATCGAAAAATGATGAATTATTTTTTTTTTTTTTTATTCAATATCAAGTTGGGGATTACCGAGATGCTGACGACATACCTCCGTTAGTCAGCTGCCTCAGAGGTTATAGGCTAGGCGAAGCTGCTGACACTATCTCTATCTCTCTCTCGTCAGAAGGGGAGTCAGCTTTACCACAACAACAACAACAACAACAACAACAACATACACCCTCCCGGTAAGTCACTCAGATTACCGCATAACAACAAGAGCATAGGACCTTTAAAGGGGATTGTGGGGGGTGGTGGAGAGGGTGGTAGTAGTGGTAATAGGAGAAGGAGGAACAGAAGGAGGAGGAGGAGGAGGAAGAAGAAGAGGAGGAGGAGGAAGAGGAGGAGGAGGAGGAAGTTTCCGAGGCTTCCGTGTGGCAACCATTATGAAGCACCTGGCAATTTAGCTTTTAGTGTCAGGATCCGTCAGGTCGCTAATTACGACTTTACCCCCAGCTAAGACCTCGCGGGCACCTGAATTCCTGACTGGTGGGGGTGGTGGGGGAAGGGGGTGATGGGTGGAGGAGGAGGAGGAGGAGGAGGAAAAGAAGGAGGAGGGGGAGGAGGAGAAGGAAGAGGAGGAGGGGGAGAGGAGGAGGAGGAGAATAGTCTTGCACCGCCAATCTATTATACTGATCCAGGCTTTTGTTGTTAATGCGGCTCACATTATCTGCTCACGGGACTTCCTCTGCATGCTTGTGTTGCCCCACGCCGCCGCCACCACAAGGGAGAGATTAAGTGAGACGTGAACTAAATATACCAGAATATCAATCCTATACACTAGACGGCAACGGAACATCCATCCATCCATCCATCCATTCATCCATACATACATACATACATACATACATACATACATACATACATACATACACAATTACAAATATATGGTAATGAGTTTTCCAAATACATAATATATAAATACATATAATTATATTTAACGCCAGTCAACGGTGTGTGTGGGTGTGGGTGTGGGTGTAGGTGTAGGTGTGTGTGTGTGTGTGTGTGTGTGTGTGTGTGTGTGTGTGTGTGTGAGTGTGTGTGTGTGTGTGTGTGTGTGTGTGTGTGTGTGTATGTGTGTGTGTCCCATGAGGGGTAACACATAGTCGAGTGCTACAACTTCATTCCTCCGGCAGTAACAATTAAACTGCCAACTCCAAACATGAGCTCGGTAGGTCACACGCACGCACACATAACAGCAGTGGTATTGTGGAGAGAGAGAGAGAGAGAGAGAGTTACCATGGTATCATAAGCCAGCTAGGTAAGGGTTAATTATGATATATCAAAACTTTTACCTTACCTGTGTGTACTGTATTATTCATCACTGACCATGTTAAATACCTTTGTCCTTCTACACTGTGAAACTTGACCTGGTTTAATTTCAATGTTAATTTCTTATCATCCACAACTAGGAGATAACTGACATATGCATTAACATTTTTGTTTTTTTAACCATTTAAATTACGAGATGATTTTAATTTTTTTTCTTCGTGTTTAAGTTATTCTCAGTGGGTGTTTATTTGTGAGTTAAATGGATGGCTCTCAACTCTTGTGGCCAAACGAGGAATATTTTAATGGGTTTATTTACTTAACTAATTCTCTATGAAATGTATTAATTCATAAAAAAAGAGACAATTTTGTTTGCTTTTATGAGTCATGTCTTGCCCCCCCCCCCAAAAAAAAAAAAAAAAAACACTCATTATAGTTTTTGTGTTATCTAAAGTGATCACCGGCAAAAGATAACAATACTGTACTCATTCTTAATAGTTAAATTCAGTATCAAATTCAAGTCTTAAAACCTAACCTAACCAACGGAGGACGAGGTGCTTAACAGTCTGGCGGACACGACCAGTAAAGTCATTCGATTCACCACCGTCAATTTCAATTTCAATCTCGTCACTACTGTCGGGTCTAGTAAAGCTTTTCCTCGTTGTTCTATGAATATTTTAAGCTTCTGTAGTATATGGTACATCTCTCTCTCTCTCTCTCTCTCTCTCTCTCTCTCTCTCTCTCTCTCTCTCTCTCACTTTTACCAGAACCGGGCACCTCTCCCTTACCCATGACAAGTAACCTTCTATTTTAACACAGCCGTACATCCGGTGCTTCCAACTCCCCCTGCCAGCAATTAATCTGCCTCTCCCCTCATACCTACCTCTCTCCCCTCATACCTGCTTCACTCCCCTCAAACTTGTCTCTCTCCCCTCATACTTGCCACTCCCCTCTCATCTCTGCCTCCCTCTCCTACCACCCCCTCCTCCCTGCCTCTCTCCTCTTATCCCTGTCTCCTTCCTCTCCCCTCTCCTCCCCTCTTCCTTGCCTCCCACCCCTCACCCCCGATGCGACTCCATTACGTGATAGACTTCTCAGCGGGGCGGAAACACACGTCTTCCTTGCCTCATCTACAATCTTAAAATATACCTATAGTAGAGAGGTGGTACTGGGGGAGGATAACGTGGGGAGTTTGGCTGATGAGGGAGAGTAGCGTGAGAGTTTGACACAGTGGGGGAGGGTAACGTGGGAGTTTGGTGCAGTGGGAGGAGTAACGTGGGAGTTGGTGCAGTGGGGAGAGTAATGTGGGAGTTTGGTGCAGTGGGAGGGTAACGTGGGAGTTTGACACAGTGGGAGAGTAACGTGGGGAGTTTGACACAGTGGGGAGGGGGTAACGTGGGGGAGTTTGGTGCAGTGGGGAGGGTAACGTGGGAGTTTGGTGCAGTGGGGAGAGTAATGAGGTTTGGGTGCAGTGGGGGAGGGTAACGTGGGGAGTTTGACACAGTGGGGAGGATAACGTGGGGAGTTTGACACAGTGGGGAGAGTAACGTGGGGAGTTTGACACAGTGGGGAGGGTAACGTGGGGAGTTTGACACAGTGGAGGAAGAAGTAACATGGATTAAGTGTTACAGTCGAATGATCACATCAGTCAGGGGTGACACACACACACACACACACACACACACACACACACACACACACCTTGTTACAGGAATTAAGGTGTGTGTGTGTGTGTGTGTGTGTGTGTGTGTGTGTGTGTGTGTGTGTGAAGAGAGAGAGAGAGAGAGATTTACCCCATCCAACCACAGTATTTTCAAGGACCAATCGAAACAGAATCGACAAGATGATCTCCTCTATGATTGGTTGTGCACCTGTTGACCCAAGCAGTGATCAACGAGCCTTAAAACCAACAAGTTACCGAGGAAAAATAAGCTTTAAGTCTTATCAAACACAAAACTATACTTACAAATAATCACACGTAAACATAATCCTTTCTCTATCATCCCTATATTGTGCAGAGGAAATATTCTTAAAACATTCTTAAACATTCATATACATTTTAAAACATTTTAACTCATTCTACCTCAAATATTAATCATTGTCCAAAGTAATCATGTAAATTGCGTCGCGTCACCTGTGTAGTGTAACAAAAATAAGTGACCAAAAATGTAATAGTGTAAAAATAATATTTATAAGTGAAAAAAAAAGTAGATCCATCACAGTTTAATTTCCGGTCTTGTATTAGGGAGAGATGCCACAGGTAAAAGCACTCAAGGCGGAGATCTCCCTGGGCACACCTGAGGGAGGTGGCGGGGGGGGGGTCGGGTCAGGCCTGGGCACACCTGAGGGAGGGGGTCAGGGAAGAAGGGAGGCAAGGAGCACCTATCTACAGTATAAACATACCAGTGGATCAAAGTAAGAGAGTTGAAGAGCACTATAGAGGGTTGGAGAGCATTATTTAGGGTTGAAGAGCATTATATAGGGTTTAAGAGTTTAATATAAGGTTTAAGAGTATTATATAGGGTTTAAGAGCATTATATAGGGTTGAAGAGCATTATATAGGGTTTAAGAGCATTATATAGGGTTTAAGAGCATTATGTAGGGTTGAAGAGCATTATATAGGCTTTAAGAGCATTATGTAGGGTTGAAGAGCATTATATAGGGTTTAAGAGCATTATATAGGGTTTAAGAGCATTATATAGGGTTGAAGAGCATTATATAGGGCTTAAGAGCATTATATAGGGTTTAAGAGCATTATATAGGGTTTAAGAGCATTATATAGGGTTGAAGAGCATTATATAGGGTTGAAGAGCATTATATAGGGTTGAAGAGCATTATATAGGGTTGAAGAGCATTATATAGGGTTGAAGAGCATTATATAAGGTTGAAGAGCATTATATATGGTTGAAAAGAAGTACGTTGTTGCAGGATGAAAAAAAAAACACCTAGAAAGTTTATCACATAACACGCCCAGCCAATCAGAACAAAACTACTTTATACCTGGCGGTCACAGGTCATCATTTAGTTGTCAGGAGATAATATTATTTGACTTGAGAGAGAGAGAGAGAGAGAGAGAGAGAGAGAGAGGTACTCACTTAGGACGGTCATAATGGCGGCGGAGACCTCAGTACGGAAGCTGGGATGCTCAGCGATGACCTCACAGCGGTACTGACCTGAGGCCGCGACAGCCAGCCGCGTCAGAGAGAGCGACACCCGCTGATCGTTCCGAAACAGTTCCTGGGAAAGACGACAAGGCAATGGTTAACACACGCTGATGGTAACATACACACACGTACAGTAGGCCTATATGTAAGTATAGTGTGTGTGTGTGTGTGTGTGTGTGTGTAATATGTATAATTTGACTTGAGAGAAGAGAGAGAGAGAGAGAGAGAGAGAGAGATTCACTTTCTCGCAGCAGGCAATATGAGAGAAAAAATATGAGAAGGCACCAATAAACAGATGCAGAGAGAGAGAATATCAATCAGCTGCGTCGACGAAGAGGAACAACAAAGAATGGTGCCATTACTTGCAGCAGGCCTCAGCGGCGGAAGTGGAGGCACAAGTGTTGTATGGGGGAGGGAGGAGTGGCAGGGTAGGGAAGAGGGAGTGGCAGGGGTCATACATGAGGAACTGGAGGAGGCCGTTGTTATGGGAAGGCGTGGTCTCATGTGGAACTACAGAGGCTTCATGGGAGGGGGAGGCGAGGGAGGTGGTTGGTATGGAAGGTAGTCATCATGGGGAGGTAGTCATCATGGGAGGTAGTATCATGGGAGGTAGTCATCATGGGGGGTGTCGTCATCATGGGGGGTAGTCATCTTAGGAGGTAGTCATCATGGAGAGACAGCCATCATGGGGAGTAGTCATCGTTGGGGAATTGGTCATCATGGGGAGGTAGTCATCGATGATGGTCATCATGGGAGGTAGTCATCATTGGGAGTAGTTATCATGGAGGTAGTCATCATGGAGGAAGTCATCATGGAGGTGTAGTCATCATGGGGAGTAGTCATCATGGGAGGTAGTCATCATGGGAGGTAGTCATCATTGGGAGGTAGTCATCATGGGAGGTAGTCATCATTGGGAGGTAGTCATCATTGGGAGGTGGTCATCATGGGAGGTAGTCATCATGGGGAGTAGTCATCATTGGAAATTAGTCATCATGGAGAGGTAGTCATCATTGGGAGTAGTCATCATGGAGAGAGTAGTCATCATGGGGAGGTAGTCATCATTGGGAGTAGTGTTATCATTGGGAGGTAGTCATCATGGAGGTAGTCATCTTGGGAGGTAGTCATCATGGAGAGGTAGTCATCATGGGAGGTAGTCATCATGGAGGTAGTCATCATGGGGAGGTAGTCATCATGGGGAGGTAGTCATTAGGGCTAGATAGTCATCATAAAGTGCATAAATAAATGCAAAAATTAAAAAATATATAAATACTGTAGTGAGAAACGATATGTGTGTGTTGTGTTGTCAAGTAAGAGAAACAATTGAGACCCTGCAATTGTGTGTAAATGAGGCAGAAAGTCAGATCAGCGACCTGGGACTTGGTCACATATGGCAGCAGGGTCTACCATTAGACAACACATTATGTTTCCAATATCTTCCCAGGCAGTAGTACCTCCCTGTTTGGTAGCTGCCGACTACCTACCAAATGATTAACGAGGAAGAATATCACTCCGAAGACAAAACTGGAGGATATTCTAACGCACACTTACAAGAAGGAACACTGCTCGAGCTCTCCCGTCAGTTATCACCAAGAGGAATATCCATCACCGGCATAAAGATAAACGATCTTCAGGAAACAGCGACTACAATATTGTTTCAGCCGAGTCAGTTATCCAAAAGGTGTTGGATCATTTCGAGGTAGGTATAGTTTTATCGAGATAAGGCTTGGTTGGATTGGGTTAGGTTAGGTTAGGTTGGGTTAGGTTAGGTTAGGTTAGGTTAGGTTAGGTTAGGTTAGGTTAGGTAAAAAAATAACAATAGGATCAGACTAAACTTAAAACATATCAAATCATATAGAAAATACCTATCTAAATTTTAATTATATGTAACCTAACCTAACCTAACCTAACCTAACCTAACCTAACCTAACCTAACCTAACCCAACCCAACCTAACCTAACCTAACCTAACCTAACCTAACCTAGTATAATATAATCGACCCTAATCTAAGCTAACAACAGACGTAGATATTAACAATACAATAGGCAATACCACAAATTCATCAACTCAAATTGATCATGAAATTGAATGGTTGAGTTAGCTGAGTCCTGTTACCACTCGCCCACACCAGGTGATCAACTAAGACTCACACTCATCACAGTTCCTCGATCCTGTGAAGCTAGCCAAGAATTCCTTCCACATGTTCTCAGAGTTCCAAGGAATTAACGTTCGGGAGAGCGTAAACTTTTTGGGGAAGGTTGAACTGGCTTTTCAGAGGCATAAAGGCTCCTCAGGTCACCCGACTTAGCAATCTTTCTCACGGGTGCTTCCTTTGAAACGCCAGCAAGCAGTGGAGCCTTATTCACGAACCGCTCAGTCTCTCTCTTTAAAGTGGAGTCCCATCTAGACCAGCCACAAGGGACACACCTCCAACTCTCTCTCACTCTCTCTCTGCTTGTACATCTTTCCAAGACGTGAGCTGCGCCAGAGTTATTCCCTAGTAAGGTGGATGGCGGCCTAACACACACACACACACACACACACACACACACACACACACACACACACACACACACACACACACACCAAACATTGTGCCTCTTACAATTGGAGAAACTTTACCCTCCGACAGTAAAATGGTCTTTATGGTGTGTGTGTTTTGATGCACAGCTCCCCGGTCACTAGGCATCATCCCCTTCCACTTCCCTCACCTAACCCCCCTCCTCCCCCTACACTTTCCTCTACTCCTGCTCAAGGCATTCCTCGTGTGTTCATGACGTCATCAGTTCAAGATGTGATTGAAACATTTTAATTAAGGCATCTGAAGTCTAACTATTGTACATAACGAATGCATCCATTTAATATTAATTATAATTATACATTTCTGTGATTATATTTCGACAAGATAAATGTTTACTGAGACACTCTATGACTCGCGGAATAATCACAGCTTTAAACTAGTGTCTCGGCAGTAATTAGGAGTTTGCCATTGTGTAATTCTGTGCACAAAAAATTCAATTCCCTGATTTCTTCTGCTTCCTACAGTTTAATTGCTAACACACACACACACACACACACACACACACACACACACACACACACACACACTCGCACCATTACCCTCCCAGCCACAGTCACACACCATAGCCTGGCAAATGCGCTAATCCAATTAACCACCCAATTTCATTCTCGAGATTAGACGGCTTCAGTTCCTCAACCTTCTAGATACAACTGTAAATAGACCCACACTTATAATATTAATTACATATATCTTGGTGATCACTTATGTTAACCTTTGAATCCATTAAAACACACACACACACACACACACACACACACACACACCTACACCTACACGAGCACACCTTAATAAATGATATAATTACCTGTGTTGGGATAATTAAGACCCTCTACCTGCTCCAGATATTACCAGAAATAAACCCGAACTTATAAATCGAGTTCCTGACAATATAAGAAAATGATGATAATTTATGGATATATTTCTTGTCATGGTTTGAAATAATAATTGTAAATAAAGCATAAACCTTATTAAAACACTACAGACATCTTGATAATTTACATCATTAATCTTTATAAAAAAAAAAAAGATCAAACCACAATTCAATAAAATATGGTTTATTGTGGGAAGAAATAATTATGTAAATATATCATATAACAAATCCTCTATTACAAATCAGATTAATTCCAATATACCAATAACCAATACAGAGGCCATAAGAACAGCTCTGTACTATACCTTATACCTTATACCTTATACCACACGTCACAATATACCTTATACCACACGTCACAATATACCTTATACCACACGTCACAATATACCTTATACCTTATACCACACGTCACAATATACCATATACCACACGCCAATATACCTGGAGTACCATTATCAGTCACAATATACCTTATACCACACGTCACAATATACCTTATACCTTATACCACACGTCACAATATACCTTATACCACACGTCACAATATACCTTATACCACACGTCACAATATACCTTATACCTTATACCACACGTCACAATATACCTTATACCTTATACCACACGTCACAATATACCTTATATCACACGTCACAATATACCTTATATCTTATACCACACGTCACAATATACTCTTTTATACCTTATACCACACGTCACAATATACCTTATACCTTATACCACACGTCACAAGCATATATCAACAAATTATAAAACTCACTGGGAAGGAAGAGCTAACTGTGTCCCATATATCATTTACATACATAAACCATAAATAAATATGTAAAAATTATACATGTCAAGAACACAGGGGGAATATATCAAGCTGGTCCCTTCATGCAGACTAAAACAAACAAACAAACAGGGGGATTTAGGCTCGTGTTTTACGGGTTCAATTATAAACCTCCCCACTCCCTGTGTTTGGTGTTCCCTGGGGTTCAGTTATAAGCCTCCCCACTCCCTGTGTTTGGTGTTCCCAGGGGTTCAATTATAAACCTCCCTACTCCCTGTGTTTGGTGTTCCCAGGGGTTCAATTATAAACCTCCCTACTCCCTGTGTTTGGTGTTCCCTGGGGTTCAGTTATAAGCCTCCACTCCCCAGTCCTCGGCTTAGACGTTCTGTGGTGGTGGTGTCGCGCCGAAACACCAACACCAAAAATATACTTTTCTTGCGTTTATCAGGTAAATATGAGGGTGTTCCTCATACACACACACACACACACACACACACACACACACACACACACACATTATTATTTGTCACACACACACATTACTAAAAAGAAGACCAAAATTATCAAATGAGCTTTTAAAACAAAGTATGCCCAGCTGACCATAAGGAGGAAGTTACTCTCAGCTGTGATGACCAATGTGTGTGTGTGTGTGTGTGTGTGTGTGTGTGTGTATGTGTGTGTGTGTGTTTGCGTGTGCGTGTGTGTGTGTGTGTGTTACTTTCTCTTTTACTCTCAAACTTTCAACTTTTACCCCAAAACATCATTAAAATTGTGAAAATAACTCAAACTATTTCTCCCAATTATATACAAATTTAAATAAATAGATAACAC